GGACTGGTAGAAGAAGTCCAGTTCTTCATCACCTTAAACGAAATTGGGTGATTACATCTCATATCACCCTATTTCTGTCAAGCTGATGAAAAACTGGTAATCTCCCAAAATGATATGAGTATACATGACCTTTCCATTGAATTTCACATAGCCTTGCTTTCTGAAAAGGTATTCTCATACAGAGTGGACTTCAGTCTCGACCTCGCCTAGGTCTTACCATCACTCCCAGCGAGACGCGAACCATCACAGCGTATAATCTGAACACGTTGACCACCACGCCGCGTTGCCACGAGTGCCCTTAGGTCACAAGGCAGATATGAATTTCAAGCAAGGTCAGGCATTTTCCCATATCATATTCTGCTGGATTGTCGATGAAGCAAACTTATATTTGCTATAGCAATCGACGATATTATACGCTGAACTGTCGAGTCCTGTTTAGAATGTTGATAAGGTCTAGGCGGGGTCGAAGCTGCAGTCCACGCTGTATGAGAATACCTTTTGGGAAAGGCAGGCAATGTGGAATTCAATGGAAACAATAAGGTCTACATATAAAATTGTGGAAAAATTCAACTAACAGTCATTCATTACATTAAACGAAATAGGGTGAACACGGTTCATATGCAGATTTTATTCATGATCTGTGGATGATTTCGAAACTTGCTCACTATGAGCATATTTATAAGATATCGTCTCTAAGACTTAATTAAGCCATTACTATGGGTGGTATTAGTTCGGAGCCTGCTTTTTCCTCGTATCATCTCAACATCTTTATCATGTTTCCTATAAATATTGCATGATGTATAATGATATATAATTCTGGATTATAATGTGTAAATTAGTGTGAATTTATTCTAGATACTTTTATGAAAATGTCAAATCATTACCGACAAAGTAGTATGTAATCTTCTTTCCCTAAACCCTTACAGTCGCCAGAGCTAACTTTCAAGAGGTCCAACGTCGATGTGATATTTAGCTTTGCAACTAAGCGATTAATTAGGAAAAGTAAATGCATCGTGGCATTGAAGAAATATTTTCTATCCAACTTAAATAAAACTAACTCAATGATGATAGAAGTAATGATTATTAAACATGTTTGACGCATATTACGAAACTATAAGTAAGTCTTAAATAATAACTTGGTCCTCCAGAGCAGCTTAAGGTGATTTAATGATTGATAGTAAATTTTTTTGCGTCAATATGGGCAGACCTCATAATGCCAGTGAATTTCACTTAGCACTGCCTCCTAAATAGTTTTTTCTAGGATTAACTGCAGTTTCGACTTCGCCTAGCTCTCATCGCCGGCTTTAACAGAATTCGAAATCAGGAGTATCGTGACAAAACAACAATTCCGCCACATAGCTGTGGATATCCATGGGTCACAAGAGAATTGTGACTTTCAAGGCAAGCTAGGTCTGGCCAAAATCACATTTTATAGTGAGATTGGCGATGATCGACAATTTACCTATATTCTAAACAGTAGTTCATCCTGAATGAGAAAACTTCTTGAAAGGAAAGGCAAGCAAAATTTATTGCAGCGTGAGGTCTACTCTGCTGTCATTTCCTCAACTCATTAGTTATTACTGCGTAAGGTGATGCTACTTTTTTTACATTGAAGTAAAAAGTTGTCTCAAGGATACGTCAACGTTTTTAAAGAAAATGCAAACAAGAAGCACAAGGAAAGAAAAGGTACTTACTCTCAGCTGAAACGTAGACTCGGATAGAGGGTTAAAAGAATTATCAGGAAGATGGTCTTCACCTTGTGGAGTGCTAGAGTTATTGAAGTTTTGGCCGCAGCTTGGGCCAGAAATGGTGGACTCCTCTATACAGTTGATTAATGATATCTTAGATCCCCCACTGTCGGAAACTGAAAGCTGATGATTGGTTGATTCCTTTGCCGATAGTTTATGCAAAAGAGGGGCAGATGAGAAAAGGTCGAGCTGTCTGTCTGAGAAGAGTTGTGGCGTCTCCAGCTTGTTTAAGGTGGCAGGAGGGCTCAGAGTGAGTTGCGGACTGATCAAATCATTGTGTTTCCTGCCATAAGCCGAATTGATGCTGTCAACTGAAGAGGACGGTGAGGCAGAACGAAGTGATGAATTTGCCAGTGAAGTGGAGGAATGTGGTGAACGGGCCTTGAATGAGTAGGCACAAGTTAGCCGGCTCAAACAAGCAATGAGTGATTTTGGATACGCAGATTCATTCGATTCGTTTAGTAGGGCAAGCAATATGTCAAGAAGAAGGGAACCTGAAAAAAACAATGAGAAACTGCTGCAAGTTTGTGCCACATACCACTGCAGATGATGGCTCATTAAGAAAATCTTTTCTTTTCATTCTTATGCTGCCAACCGCAACCTTGTGACAACGCAAAGCTTCAAGAGGAATAAGGGATTTACAATAGCCAAAAGCCTTACCTTTTGCTTCACTACTAATTTTCTTTATTATTATGGGGCTGGATTGATTGGTAATTAAAACCCTTCAATAGGAGCAGTAATCATCTTAGGCCAATTAAAGGTGATGCATGATTGATAGTCGAATTTCAAGCAATTAAATGAGTAGAATAGCCCACGATACAATTGAATTTCGCGCAGTCTTGTCACTCGAAAGACCGTCCCTTCCGGCCTTGCCTCATGGTCTGATCAGCACTCAATCAACGGGACTTGAAACGGGGTCATGCGCGTCAAGTTAACGTTACAATCTAGCGCAGCCAGGGGTACCAGTTGATAACAAGGCAGATATGATTTTATAGGTAAATCAGCCCCCTTCCAGTTAGCAGTTAAAATATGACTGCTGTCGATAGTGCAAATGCCTATTTGCTGATTGAGAGTGTTTCGAAACAAACCGCGGAAGTTATTTTAAACTTTTGTTGGATTTCCCAAGATAAACTGAATAGGAATCCTAATGATGGCATTACATTTCCCTTTGTCTGTTCAGACTGTTGTCAATTTTAAATGAAAAAGCCTTTTGCGAGGCAAGGCTAAATGAAATTGAATAACGTGATGAAGTATTTTATTTATTTCATCGTTGGAAATCCAACTGCTAGCCGTGCATCATCCTAAGCGACCTAAAGTGATTAAAGTTACTAATCAAGATCCAATGATAGTTACAAAGCATGCTCACTGCTCAAGAGGACTGACAATAAATAATAACGATAAGATAAAAAGTTCCAAGAGCATAAAGCATTCATTCTCGCCCTTTCTCCTGTATATTACACATAGCAACAAAGCCGATGGAAGCCGTAAATGCAAGCTGATTTTGTTATAGAAATTGCTTGACCTTGTTTTCGCAACTTGGTCATATTGGTAGGAAGACTAATAGGAAAGCACCTTGTCCTGAGTTCATTGTATGCAAAAATATATTCAAAGTCGGACCGTGGACGCGGTACATTCCCAGACGTTTCGCCGGCATCGTCAGTGAATTTTACTATTCGTAGCACCATATTACAACTCATCAGAGACAAATGAAGCCGATCCTTTGACCAAACCTGTGCTAAACGGTTATGGTGTCTCCTATTCTGACATGGCCCATTCACATTTCCTATATCCTCCAATCACGCCTTCATTGTCACTATTTTTTACTTGCTTAATTAAATGTGA